ATCGAAAACGAGCAAGAGGGAGAAAATTTACCTCGATCGGCGGTCAGAAACTTCCCCAGTGCGGCGGCGGGTGGCGGCGGCCGGCTCCTCCGGCGTCTAGTTCTTCTTCTCCGGCGAGGCACTGGCGGCTAGGGTTTTTGTGGTCAGGTGTGGGTGGAGTTATTTATACCCTTTACCTTTTAATCTCAACCGTCCTTCAAGATTAAATCTGGACCGTTCAATCGCGATTTAATTGGGATTAAATCTGGGCCGTCCGTGCTTGATTGAATCTGAGCCGTCCGTACGCGTGAATCTGGGCTGTCCGTGCGCAAGTTTGATCTGGGCCGTCCATGTGCACTGGAACGGATCTGGGCCGTCCGATCACGCGCACGTGGATTGCCCACATGGCTCGTTCCCTGGTCAGCATTGCCTTGCCACGCGGTGCCTCCTGGTTGGCCGGGGCTACTGACCGGGCCGCTGACGTGGCTGCTGACGTAGCACAACTTTTTTAAATTACGTTTTGACTCCGGTTTCCGATTTTCTTTTCAAAAACACCCCCAGAATCTAAATTTTCACCCCTTTTTTCCAACATCAATTTCAATTAAATTCAAATAATATTTTTACCAAATTTTATCACTATTATTATTTTTATTTTCATTAAATTAAATTAAATTAAATTAAATAAAAAATCAAACAAATAAATAAAAATAAAAATAAATAAAATAAAAATTTTTATTTTTATTTGGGTGTTACAGTCAACCTCGACTTTTGGATTGCCACCCAGTCCTCCAATATCATCTCCTTCTAATGACCTCTCATCTTATGATCCATCATCACCAGACTTGTTATCGGCCTCACCTCATTTGCCATTATGGCCAATGATCTGCATGTTGTTTGCCTGTAATCACTTTTAGACATAGGCTCTTTAGACGCCATCGGTATGCTGTACCTCAAGGATGGCGTCCCTACTTTACACCTCTTGGACCACTCATGCACAGAGACCAAAAAGTGTGCAGTAAGAAGAGAGACCAACAAGAACTTGCCGCCACAAACACTTAACTTGTCGAATTTAATGAATTCATGGACTTCATATTAATGTATGTCCGAATGATTGAGAGTCGTCTAAACTAGCTCGGACAGTCAATACGCGAGTAACTAAAAAAGTTGATGCACTAGCCTAGTTACTCATCCAATCAGGGAGAGCAGCAACCCGACCCCACACTAAATGAGCCCCAAGTGTCTTCAACTATTCTTGTGTACTCCCTAGCTAACAATACTAGGAGAGTATTCTATCCTTTCTTTTTCTCTCATTATGTGTTTTTCTTTTCGTTTCTTATTCTCTGTTTTTCATGCTACCTGCTTGCATCACATTGGTGGACAATGTGTCATTTAAGTGTGGGGGAGGCATATATTGCACTTTTAGGTTTCTATTATGGTCACATTTTTCTTTTAAACACATGTTGACACACACTCTTATCTTTGCCTAAGTCACACACAAACACTTTATCAATTATTTTTAACCCCACCTTTTACATTACTATATTAATATTCCTAAAACAATTTAACTATGATGTTTCAAGAATAAAATTACACTCTCAGCAACCTTCTAATATTTCTGGCCTGTTTTTCATATTTTTACATCATGAAAAACTATTTCTGGTAAAGTGTCTTAACATAGCTTGTTTATGAATTGAATTCAATTGATTTTCTTTTGTCCTGAAGAGAACGCCAGTACCTAGGGAACTTACACATATGCCTGTCTAAATATTCAAAAAAAAAGAAGAAAAAAAGAGAGTATAAATAATAAACTACTCATCTAGTCACTTGAAATTGTGACCGGCTGAGTAACATAATGCATTCATCACAAATGTTTGATATTGTGTTAAAAGGTTAGTAACACCTTGATATAGCCATAAAAAACTAATCAATTGACAATTAGTAGCACTAGTAGCCGCTTGAAATTGTGACCGACTAAGTAACCGGGTGCATTCATTATAAATATTTACCGTCACATCAAAAGGTTAGTAACACTTCAAGTAAGTAAAAGAGTGCTCGAACCTCATTCGCATTAAAGCTTTATGTTTGGATAGGTTTGGTGTGGATTTTGCCTAGTTGTTGGCTATTTTTTTCAAGATAAAAACATACTTAAAAAAATATGTAAAACCTTTCATTTTATGTTTAGACATTATTTAGAGTAGCTATTCCTTGGTGTGATTTCATGAAATTCAAGCCTAAATCTGCTAGTAGAGGATGCTTTTTGGAATTTTAAGATTAAAATATAACATATAAGTTATGGAAGAATTACTAAAAATAGTAGGGTTGAGGGTGCAGGATTGAGACTTGTTGGGATTTATTATGAAGTGCTTAAAAGCAAGCACAATATAAGTGTGGGAGATTTGCTTTTTCAAGTACTTAATTGAATTGTTTACCATCTAATTTAAGTTATTTTATTCCTTTTGATACATGATAGAAGTTAGAGTCCAATGTCAAGAAAAACAGCATAAAAAAAAAGATTTTATGAAACAATTGTCAGTCATGGTATAAGCCTCAGTCAAGGCTTAAACCCTGCAAGAATAAAAAACATTGGCTCGCACACAATCAACCCTCGAGCAAGGCTAATGCATCAGAAGAACTATAGGTCTTGGGTACATGCAACAAAGCCTCGGGTAAGGCTTACATTTCTATGAAAATAGAAAATCAGTCAATGCACAACAAGTGCAGCAGCTGATTTGGAAAAAAAAAAGCGTGTTTTTGAAATTAAAGAAGAATCCTATTACTTATAGAAGAGGAAACTGAAAATCAAGAATGAGATCATTATGAGAAGCTCGAAGGAAGCCAAAATCATTGAAAAAGATCTCAATCTTTGCAAAAGGAAACCTTAATCCTCTTAAGTTTTAAAAGGAGCAGAAAATCAAAGAAGAGGGCATCTTGTCCGTTGCACATCGAATCACTCACCACTTTCTGAATTTTTCTTCCTTCTCTTTTCAGTAATCATAAAAACTCTGTTCAGTACTAAACCCACCATGAGTGGCTGATAACTTTCTTTTCCTAGTTACAGATTTAGTAAAATTCCAATTTGTATTGTGAGATCTAATTGTCTCAATTCTAGTTTTATTGAAGTTCAACATTTGTTTATTTTTCTACATATATTATTACTGTTGTTGTTAACTGCTTGAACAAGGCTCGTTAGGCGTGGGAGACGACATCATACTGCCAGCTAGAATATTCAAAATATGTAATTGTTTGGATTGCTTTGATACCCAATGGTAAATTAGTCTTTGAACTAAGAAAGATAAGCTATCTGGTTGAGTGGTTCACGTGGCTGAACCCGACAATTAGAACCAGGTTTTTCTAGTTCTCAAGGTTATTGGTAGATTAAATTTTAAGAACATTTCCAGGACTGTATATCAACAAGAATCAATTAATGAATATTTCTTAGTTGGCTTAAGATTAAAGTAAAATCGATTTTCGGAACGTTTCTGATAAGTTGAATTGGTTTTTGTGCTTTAGTAAACTAATCATGGCATCAATGATCAATTACGTGACTAGAATCTAGCTACTTATTTAACTCGGATAATTCTTACATTTAGTTATTTCGCTAATAATTTTTAAACAATCTTCTATCTCTTTAGTTCAAGTTCATCTTAGTAGCTTATCTCTTTTTATAGTTTTAAACTCAAAGAAAACCCCCTACCTAAATACTTTTTGTTTGTTGGTTACAAAAGAAAAACAGTTCTTAATTCCCTAAAGATTCAACCCTGTCTACCACTACTACAATTTTATTTTATTGGTTGAATAAGAATTTTAGTTTTGGTGAATTTGACACCCACAAAAAATATATGTGATTGACATATATATGATATTTGATGAAGTTCAAAGTAGAATAATATTCTTTGTCAACATCCAA